AGGTGTAGGGGACTCTCCCCAGTGCTGCAGCTGATGGGGGGCAGGAAGAGCTTTTGCACTCACTCTTGTGACCTCAGGGCCAGCTTTCCCACCTGCCTCAGGCATTGATGGGTAGGGGTAGGAGTGGGGGTGGGGAAGGGCATTTCTCCCTGGCCCATGCCGCCACAAGATGGATGAGTAATGGGGACAGCTCTTAAAGTAAGTATTTTTTAAGAGAATATACAAAACTAATCTTTATTGATAGAATTGAGGAAAGAGGCTATTTGAAGAGGTGTCTAATGGCTAGAAAGGAACATGAGAACTTTCTGGGGACAGAGATACTTCATGTCTCGATTTTGTGGAAAAGTCATCAAGCCATACACAAAAGTTTTGTTCATGTCCTGTATGGGAATTATAGCTCCGTAAACAAACACAATGAGTGTGGGCGGGGAGATGCTGCTGCTGCTGGTGGTGGTGATGGTGGTGGTTCTCCACTTAGTACAGAACCCAAGAACTCTGCTCCCTCTGCTCAAGTAAAGCTAACCAGCCCCATATGTCCTCCATAGGATGGCTTCTGAGCTGGCATGCAGCTAGCTCAGGGTTAGAGCAGCATTAGCCCTGCATCTGAGGACTTGGTGGGGAGGGAGCTACAGGATGGGTGGAGCTACGAACCTCCTCTTTTCCTGCTGCCATCTCGGGGTGCCTGGCTGGGTCCTCTGACCTGAACTTTGCCCAGCCTCCTTGCTGATTTCCCTTTGGGATATCTTCCTTACTATAGTCACACTGATCTCTCTGAATGTAAAAGCCGTCACCAGCTGGGCACGGTGGCATACGATTTTTAATCCCAGCACTTGGGAGCTTGAGACAGGCAGATCTCTATGAGTTTGAAACCAGCCTGGTCTATACAGTGAGTCCCAGGCCAGCCAAGTCTACAAGGTAAGAACCTGTCTCAAAGCAAAACAAAAACCCGTGTCACCTATACAGCTTGACTTTTCCTGCGGCCTCTGACTACTTAGTGAGTGGTAAGGTCCAGGTGCCTGAGCAAACTTTTAAAAGGTCCTCCATGTGGGCAGGCAAAGGAGCTTGCTGGCAAGCCTGACTACATGAGTTCAATTCCCACGACCCACATGGTAGAAGGCAAAGAATTGACTCCTGCGATCTGCCCTCTGAGCTCCACATACATGCTGTAGCATGCACATGCATAATAAATGTAATAAAACTATTTTTAAATTAAAGGTCCCCTGTTGCCCTGAGCTTGCTAAGCTCTGAGCTGATCCCAGCTTCTCTTTTCTGGCCCTTCCACGCCTTGTTCTCCAGCCATGGAGGCCTTTTTCAGCGCCTTGAATTTAACCTTTGCTTTTGTCTCTGACTTTGTGCACACTGTATCCTTTGCCTCCCACGTTCTCCCTCTCAAACTTTCTCCTTTCCTTGGGTCCCTTTTACCAACCTCTGATCTCAATTCAAGTATCAGCCCCTTGGAAAATCATCCCTGAGTATCTTGACTGGATAACTATAGGATCTCAAACCAGCTGGTTCCGCCACTGTCATGGTATCACATTTTCTGTTATAAGTCAATGAACTGACTGAAACATTAAGTATTTGAGAACTATTTAGATGGATGGATCAATGAATGAAGGAGAGGAAATTGGAAGATAGTGAAATCAAGTCATGATGCTCAGTCCTGCCTACCCCATTAAGAAGGTGCCGGAGAGCTACCTTTAATCCCATACACTTTAATGAGGAGGCAGAGGCAGATGGACCAAGGAGGGATCTCTGTTGAGTTTAAGGCCAACTTGGTCTACATTTTTAGTTCCAGGCTAGCTAGGGAAACATAAGGAGACCCTGTTTCAACAACAACAAAGGAGGTGCCAGAAAACACAGAACACAAGGCTGTCCACCATTTCTTTCTTCTTTTAAAAGATGTGTGTGTGTGTGTGTGTGTGTGTGTGTTTTATCTACAAGTATGTATGTGCAATGTCCACGAAGCTAGAAGAGGTCAACTGACATCCTGAAGCTGGATTTAAAGAGGGTTGTGAGCTGCCTAGTGTGGGTGCTGGGAACTGAACTCCCAACCTCTACAAATGCTCTTAACTGCTAAGCCATCTTTCCAGACCCCAACAACCTTTTCTTAGCCAGATATATTGTTTCTCACATTGCCTCTTGTTGTTTTTTTTCCTTGCTATATCAAGTACTTGAACTTCAACTAGTTCTTTTGTTAATTCTAACTCATTTTTTTTGTTTACATTTTGTTTTGCTTTTGTGGTCATTGTTTTGAGATAGTATCTCATGTAGCTAAGGCTGGCCTGGAATTCCCAATATAGCCAAGGCTAGCCTGGAACTAATCTTCCTACTTCCACCTCCTATGTGCTGAAATTACAGGTATGGGCCACTGTCTTAAGGTGTCCATTGCTGTGAAGAGACACCATGACCACGGCAACTCTTATAAAGGAAAACATTTAATTCAGGTGGCTTACAGTTTCAGAGGTTTAGTCCATTATCATCATGGCAAGGCATGGAAGCGTGCAGGCAGACATGGTGCTGGAGAAGGAGCTGAGAATTATACATCTTGATTCACAGGCAGCAGAAGGCGTCTACGTGAGCCACACTGGGCATAGCTTGAGCATATATGAGACCTCAAAGCCCGCCCCCCCACAGTGACACACTTCCTCTGACAAGGCCACACCTACTCCAGCAAGGCCACACCTCCTAATAGTGCTACTCCCTATGGGCCAAGCATTCCAACACATGAGTCTATGGGGGCCATACCTATTCAGACCACCACAGCCACCTCCCCTGGTATGTGTGGTGAAGAGAATCAAACCCAGGACTTCGTGCATGTCAGGTAAGCACTCTACAAACCTTGCTACATGGTGTCCCCAGCTGGATTTTGTTTGTACACAGGGTCTCACTATGTAGTCCTGGCTGGGCTGGGTGAGTCTTGAGTGTTGGTATCATAGGCTTGTGACTCCACGCCTGGCCTTAATTCTAACTCTTTCTCGTGAGTGTAGGTAGGTAGAACAAACTCTGGACCCCATGTCATGGGTAAGGAAGCACAGGAAAGGTTAGCCACATGTTCAAGGTCACAGAACCAGTGAGTGGTAGCCTGGGATTCGCCCACTTGCCCCGACTCCTGGCTTGATGCTCTTCCTCCTTCACTGGTTGCCTCTGTCTCCCTGCAGAACGTGTCTCCCTAACAAATGTAGGGGCTTCACTGGCTCAGCTTTTGTGGGAGCTGGTGTATGAAGTCCTATTGGAGTTCTTTCTTCTCCGAGCTACCCTGTTCCGGAAACCCACTGCACAGCATCGAGCAAACTAGCTCTGTTCTCAGCTCCTGCTTGCTGCTGCCTGGGAGGTGACCACGGGCCCTCTTCTTGTTCCTTGACTGAACAGAAGTCCCGCTGGTGCACGGCATGAATATGTGGAACCCATTGGTTGCCAAGCCAAATGTAGCTCCAGATTATTCTAGGAAACAAATAAGTTGTTTTGCTCTGGATTGCAGGAATTTCTAATTGGGGATTTTTATTTTGGGCAGTGTTCCTTGGAGCTGGCAGACAGATGGAGGAGGTAGCCTGCTCCAGGGGCATGTTAAGCAAAGGGAACTACTGATCTGCCCTGGAGTATGAGAAGGTGCCAGGGCCTGTGGTGGCACAACTCTTGCCTTCGGTGCCCGAGGCTGAGGCCTCTTGGAGGGCTTCCTGGTTCACAGTGGTATCCTTTTCTCCCAGAAGGGCCCTGGAAACAAGTGCAAGCCATTAGAGATGCTGTCAGCTGTGCACTGCCCGTGCCCAGCAGCCAGAACACTGCCTTAGGAGGTGGGCAGGTCTTTCCTGGGACTCCCTGCCTAGGACTCAGAAAGAGCCTTCATTTACCTCAGCAGTAGAGCAGAGCACACAAATCTGCTAATGGCCAACTTTTCAGTCACCAGTGAGAGCAACAAGAAAGACCTGAGAGCATTCTAGAAACTCTCAGCCTCTGGTTCCTGACTCAGCCATGGCCCAGACTCCCTCACCATTTGATTAGTTATTTGTTCAAGGTCACGGAATAAGCAAATGGCAGACCTGGGCTGAACCATCTTTGGGTCTCTGTGTTCCCTATATCTAAGCAGTCCCTCGAGATGGTAAACTCCTTTTCCTGCCTCAAAACTCATTAAGGTTGCATTTCTGTCCTCTACAGCTAGAATCCCAGCTTGGTGGTGGACAGGATTCAGGGACGCAGACAGACGCCCAGACTCCAGATTCGTGGACACATCTGTGGATTGATTACCTGGTGTTTTAGAGTCACGTTACAATGGCCAGTCTGTTTCCAAGAGGAAAATGAGCGAAAGCTGAGGAAAGACAGTGCTGGGGTGGCTCTGTCGGCGAAGTGCTGGTCACGAAAGCACGAGACTCAGAGCCCACATGGAAATGCTGGGTTTCCAATGGCGGCATGCAGTTATAATCCCAGTGCTGGGAAAGCCGGTGGGAGGCTACAAAGTTCAAGGTCATCCTCAACTACATACTAAGGTCATATATACAACTATATACCTTAACTCAAAAATTTAAAAAGAAAAAAAAAGACGAAGGAGGGGAGAAGGTGAAAAGATAAAAAGATGCGCTCAAGTGGGCAGAGAGGAAGCAGGAGAACACCAGGAAAGAAGCAATACTTGGGTGTAGGGTGTAGCAGGCTTGATTGGAACATCTCAGTTCTGTTCTAGAACCCCAGACCTGTTCGTCCGCTCTAGCAGCCTCCTTTTTGCCTTGTTCAGCCCATGAACTGAAAATCTGCGCTCTTAATGCTATCGGCTAATAAATCCAGGACTGGCAAGATGGCTTAGTGGGTACAAGTGCCCTGCCACCAAGCCTGACTGCCAGAGCTCAATTCCAGAGAACCCAGCCCAGCATCCACATGGCAGCTCACACTGTAAGTTCAGTTCCAGGGAACCTGACACCCTCTTCTACGTGAGACCCTCGGGAGGCCACAACCTCCCCAAGTGGCCCCGTTTGATTTCTTTTTTGTGATTAAAATATCCCGACAAAGACCACTCAAGGGAGAAAACCTTTATTTCAGCTCACAATGTGAGGTTACAGTCCGTCAGTGCAGGAAAGTCATGGCACCACACACAGGCTGTGCAGCCATCCATGCAGGCGAAACACACATGGGCACAAAGTACAAATAAACATATCTTAAAAATGAAATAAGCTGGTGTGGTGGCACACGTCTTTAATTCCAGACGATGAAGCTAGGTCACAGAAAAGGCAGATACTTCGCTGGGTATGTTGTCGCCGCACTCTGGAGGCTGAAGTTCCAGTCCAGGAAGGGAGGAAGTGGGGAAGGGTGGTGGCGTCACCTTTAATCCCAGCACTCTGGAGACAGAGGCAGACAGATCTCTGTAAATTGGAGGCCAGCCTGGTCTACAGAGCGAGTTCCAGGACAGTCCTGGCTATGTAGAGAGACCCTGTCTCTAAATAAAGAAATAAAATAGAAACAAAACATACAAGACATCCAAATCCACTGTTGTCCTCAAAGGAAGACCAAGCTTAGCTACAAAGGGATAGTAGGAGGCTGACTCCAAATCCCAGGGTTGGAGAGGAGACATATTAGGTCCACCCCCCTGCCTCAGATCCATCTATGATTCATCTTAGCCATATCTCTTCTGTGATTATGCACCCCTCAGCTCTGTCCAATATTTACTTTGCAAAAAAAAAAAAAAAAAAAAAAAAAGATGCTGTGTGACTTTTCTTAGAGACAAAGAAACCAGGTATAGAGACAGCACCAATAGACCAAAGAATGGTTCTTTCCAAGTCCAGTTTGGGTTTAAAATTACAGAAATATGGGAAACCCAAAGGCAGCTAAACTACTATGAAGTCTCATCCCAGTCAACTGTTCACCTTTCATGTAATCTTTGGGAAAGGAGAGGCCTCCTAAGGACCTTATTGTTATAGTTAGCTTTCGTTTTCAACTTGATGCAATCAAGAATTACATTGGAAGAGTCTAAATGAGGGATTTTCTTCATTAAGCTGACCTTTGGGAGACTGTCTTGATTACATTAACTGAAATGGGAAGACCCAGCCCACTGCGAATGGCACCATTCTCTAGTTTGTGTGTGTGTGTGTGTGTGTGTGTGTGTGTGTGTGTGTGTGTGTGTGTGTGTCTTAGGCTGGGTAAGAGCAGAGAAAGCCAGCTAAGCACTGGAAGAGGCATGGGCACATTAATTTTCTCTCTGTTCTGGACTACAGATGTGACTAGCGGCTTCAGGTTCCTACTGTCTGTGGCTTCCCTGCTAGAATGGGCTGTAACCTAGAAAGCTGAGCTAAAATAAATCCTTTCCCCCAGCCTTGTTTTTGTCAGGGTATTTTGTCACAGCAACAGGAATGGGTGTGGGACACTTGGGCAGGCTCTGGTCTCTAGAGGGTCTCATGTGGGTTGTCACTGCCATTATACCTCAACACGGTCACAGTAGGGTCCAACGTGGAGGAACCTGCATGGTGCAGAGTGGAAAGCAGGAGAAAGGCTAACCGCCCTCACAGTGGGGGAATAGCTTCTAGGAAGCCATCTTGTTCTCCTCTCCAAATCCCCCATCAGCCAAAACAGGACAAAAGTAAGGAGGGTGCAGAACTGCCCCCTCCATACTCCAATCTAGTCCTTAGCCCAGCCTACAGCAGAGAGCCTCGCCTTCAGTGTCCAATGTGGCAGTATAAATGCTTCCACTTATGTGCCTGGGTGACGGGAAAAGACACACCAAGGTCCTGTGCAAGGATGCCCATCCTTACTGATGCTTACAATTGCAACCAGGATACCTCGGTTAGCTTGCCAGCTGGCTCCCCCATGCCTCTGCTTGACCTAGAAACTGAAGTCATTTTTTGCAAGGCAGGCTTGGCAATATTTATGTTAAGTGTTTCTGTCTTTGACCTAGACATCTAGCTACCATTTACTAACGTTGTAAGTCTGGGGAAACTAACAGCTTCATGCCTCAGTTCCCTCACCTGTAAAATAGAGGTAATAATAGTACCCCTGAGCTTGTAGAAGTCAATGATGCTGTGTTTGAGACTCTCAATGCCCAGCAGTGCCCATAGTGAATGGTATGTAAATGCTAGCTAGAATACTAATGTGTTAATATTCCACCAATACACCAAGTATGAACAGAAGACTAGAAGTGACTGGATTCCTTTTCATCAATTTTTGAGATAGGGTCTCATTATGGAGCTCAGGATAGCCTTGAACTTCTGACCTTCCCACCTTAGTCTCCTGTGTGCTAGGTAGACATGTCCACTCCACTTGGCTCCTGTTCTGCTTTAAGTTTTTTCTTAGATTTTTATTTTTAATTATGTGTGTGTGCATGTGGGTTTGTGCACATGTAAGTGCAGGTGTCTGAGAAGTCCTGAGGAGGGTATCAGATCCCCTGGAATTGGAGTCACAGGTGGTTATAAGCTACCCATTGTGAATGCTGGGAAACCAAATTTGGGTCCTCTGCAAGAGCAAATTTGCTGTTAACCTTGGAGGCATCTCTCAAGCCCTTTGTTTTAGTGTTTGGTTGGTTGTTTGGTTGCATTTTGTTTTGTTTTTGAGACAGGGTTCCATTGTGTAGCCTTGGCTGTCCTGGAACTTGGTCTGTAGACCATGCTGGCCTCGAACTCAGAGAGATTCCCCTGCCTCTGCCTCCCGAGTGCTGGGATGCATACATCGTCACTGCCTGGCCGTGTTTCCGTGGTTTTCTTTTTAATTTTTTTAGATTTATTTTACTTTATATGTATGAATGTTTTGCCTTCATGCATGTATATGCACCATGTGAGTGACTGCTGGATCCCCTGGAACTGGGATTGGATGCTTGTGAGTCACCATGTGGGGCTTAGAAATCGAACCCTGCTCTTCTACAAGAGCAACAAATGCACTTAAGCACTGAACCACCTCTTTTTTTTTCTTTCTTTTCTTTTTTGGTTTTTCAAGACAGCGTTTCTCTGTGTAACAGCCCTGGCTGTCCTGGAACTCACTCTGTAGGCCAGGCTGGCCTCAAACTCACAGAGATCCGCCTGCCTCTGCCTCCTGAGTGCTGGGATTAAAGGAGTGCACCACCATCGCCTGGTACTGAGCCATCTCTTTAGCCCCATTTTTTTTTTTTAATTTTTTGAGACAGGATTTCTCTGTAGCTTTTGAGTCTGAACTTGCTCTATAGACCAGGCTGGCCTCGAACTCACAGAGATCCTCTTGCCTCTGCCTCCCAAGTGCTGGGATCCAAGGTGTGTGCCACAACCATCTGGCTTTTTGGGGGGGGGGGTACAGGGTCTCATTATGTAGCCCAGGCTGGCCTTGAACTCTTGGTTCTACCTCCTCCAGCTCCCAAGTGCTGAGACTAATTCCAAACACTGTGCCCATTGAATCTTTTCTTTTTCCTCTTTTTAGTTACCATACAAAACACCCAGGTTTTTTTTAGTAATCAGTGAACTTGAGTTTAAAACATACAGATGGTGCTGGGAACATCACTCGGTTGTTAAGAGTGCTTGCTAGCATGCACAAAGCCCCGGGTTTGTGCATTGTATAAACCAGGCATGGTAGCATACACCTATAATCCCAGCTCTTTGCAGACCAGGGTAGGAGAATCAGGAGTTCAAGGCTATCTACACAGCAAATGCAAAGCTAGTCTGAGATGTGTGAGACAATCTCAACAACAGCATAAAACCAGTATGTATACATGATGATAAGCACATGGCCAACATAGCATGAGGATCTGGATTTCAGCCCCATCATGAGAAGGGGAAAATGGATAAGAAGAAGAAGGATAAGGAAGGAAGAAAATAAAAATGACTGCCTATTTTGCAGGGAAGAGAGAAGGACAGAGGTCCCTTGCTCCATAAACAGATGACTAGTCTCTTGCCATAGTGGTCATGGAAACCTGGGGACTCTGCAAGAGTTGAGGGGAAGCTGGGCACGCTGTAGACAGTTGACTCATCCCTGCTGCAGCCTCATTGGCCTTCTGCCTTGTCAATCCTGCAGCCCCACCCTGCTTCTGTCCCTGTGTTTAGGTAAAGCCTTCAGGAAGAGGAAAAGGGAAGGAAGGAGAGGAGGAAGAATGGAAGAGGGGAGAAGCAGAAAGGAAAGAGGAGCAAAGGAGGATGCAATGTCCCTGCATCCTCCTGGCCCCAGGAAGTGGGGCAGGGAACTGCTCTTCAGCTGTCAGGAGTCACCATGGCGACCGAGCACTGGTCTCTTCATGATTAATACTCCCAGGCAGCTGTCTTCTTGGAGTCTTTTAAAATACACACAGTATTATTTGAACACAATGATATTTAGAGCAGAAAGATCAAGGTGGGGTGTGGGGGAAGCGAGCGGTCCTGTTACCAGAGCTGTGGCACGGGCTGGGTTCCCTCCCTCCCCGAGGAGGTAGAAAGTAGGCTGCCTTCTCTGCCATCCATCCCCTCCTGGCTCAGCTTGCTCTCTGGATGCAGAGCTTCCCCCTGCCAGGTGCTGCAGCAGCATCACCATCTGAAGGGCCCTCGAAGCACCTGGCATCAGGCTGTGTTCAATGAATGAAATCGGTCATTCATCCATCCATCCATCCATCCATCCATTCATTCATTCAGCGACATTTTGTTCCTCGATTATCTAAAAATAAATTCCACCTTACCTGTCCTAATGGGAATTTGAAATAACCTTTTCCTCTCCTCAAGGGGACACACACACAACTTACCACCACCATCAGCTTCTACAACAGGCATCTGCGTGACCCCTGTGGTCTTGTCCATGGTGGTCCCGACAGTCTTGCAGGGATCAGGGATGGCTAGGTTGTGTTCCCTATTTGAAGAGCTAGAGGAAGACCTCCCACCCACAGATGTCTTTGTGTGAATCATTCTGTAAAGTGAATGATGTTTTCCTATGTAATCTTAAAGAATAGACTACCCTGAGCTCACCACTCTGCCTCACCAGAGAACAGAATTTGCCCAGGGCAACTCACACAATTTCTCAAGTGTTTTCTCATTGAAAACAGAAATATGTGGCTCCAAGGAGATAAGAAAATGATACAATGTTTAGGAAGCCTGGGAGGCTATCATTTTCCTTCTGAACTCACGTTTTTCTATCTGAAGTGTAATTAACCAGAGATCAGAGAGGCCAGCCTCTTACCTTTTATGCCTCCCCAAAGACCTTTATTCCATCTAGACACAGGGTCTCTTTATGAACTGCTACAAGTCGGGAGGGAAGGTTAAGGAGATGGTACAGTTGGTAAAGTTCTTGTCCCACAAGCATGAGGTCACAAGTTTGACTCCCAGAACCCATGTTTGTTTTTTTAAACAAAAGAAAGAAAAAAAGAAAAGAAAAATTCATGTACATGCCTGTAATTACACATGCCTGTAATCCTAGTTATAGAGAGACAGGTCCTTGGGAGTGTGGGGGTCAGCTTGTCTTGCAGAATCTATTGAGTTCAGAGAGAGAATGAGGGTCAGAAACAGATCCTGCCTCAAAATAAGTGGAGAGCTGTTAGCTAAGTTTCTATTGCTATGATAAACACCAGGACCAAAAGCAACTCGGACGGGAAGGATTTAGTTCAGCTTACAGTTGTAGTCCATTATGAAGGGAAGTCCGGGCAGGACCTCACTAGAGGCAGGGACTGAGGTAGAGCCCAAGGAAGGCTTCTGCTTCCTGGATTGCTTCCCCATGGCTTGCTCAGCAAGCCTGGACCACCCGCCCAGGAGCTGCAAAGCCCACAGTGGGCCGGACCCATCCACATCAACCATTCATTAATCAAGAGAAACACCCCAAAGGCACGCCTGCAGGCCAACCTGGCGGGACCTTTTTTTCCTCAGTTGTGGTTCCTTTCCTCAGACGACCCTACTTTGGGTCAAGCTGACAGAGAACGAGCCAGCACAAGAGTGATTTAAGAAGATACTTGAGAGCTGGAGAGATGACTCAGGGGTTAAGAGCACTGGCTGCTCTTCCAGGGGACCCAGGTTCAATTCCCAGCACCCACATGTCAGCTCACAACTGTCTGTAACTCCAGTCCCAGAGGGTCTGACACCTTCACACAGAAATACACGCAAGGCGAAAACACCATTGTACATAAAAATAAAATCTTTTTTTTTTAAAGATACTTAACATTGACCTTTGGCCTCCAAATGCACTAGCACATATGTGCATGCACATATGAACATGTACATGCATGCACAAAGTTGGAGGAAGAGAGCCAAACCAGAAGAGGAATAGTCAGATGTCTCCCATTTACTCCCCACTTGTCCACAGGGAACAAGATACAGACAGCTGCTCATTACCTATCCAGGAGCAGCAATTTTGAGCATGTGTATGAATGTATTTTCCATAGAGGGTGCACAGAGATGGGGTGTGCCAGCCCCAACTCAGAGATGTCGCCTGTCTCCTCTCCTAGCCTTTCCTACTCTCCAGCCCAGCCCCAGGTCTGGCCTCTAGCAAGAGCAAATTAAAGTGACTTGGATGCTTGTCCCAGCACAGACCTTGCCCAACAGCCCTTGGCAGAGAGTAGCAGTGGCCTGGCACCTCACCACAGGACTAAGGGAATTATCCATGACTAAGAGGGAGGAGGGACACTGTGGCAGAGGGAAGAACAGCAGAAGGAATGGGCGACCTGGGGCTGGCCAATCTGGCCCGACGGGCCACCTGGGGAACCCTGGACACCCGCCCAGCCAAGTTCCTCTCTTCCCCTCCCCTTAGGCCACAAGATGCCAGAGTGTATGTGAGACACGTGTGCCCTTCCTGTCTGGTGAGGGCTCACCTGGCCTAGGCGATGCATTTGGGTGAGAGTCAAGCTCTGGGTCTGAAATAGGTGTGTGTGTGTGTGTGTGTGTGTGTGTGTGTGTGTGTGTGTGTGTTCCTTATAGATGGATTTCTTTTTAGATAAGGTTTTATGTAGCTCAAGTCTGGCCACGAACTTCTGAAAATCCTCCTAACTCTACCTCCAGGGTGCTGGGATTGCAAGGATGAACCACTGCACCTAGTTTATGCAGGGATATGTACGCTAAACAAGCACTCTACAAGTATCATCCCCATTTCTGTATTTTCTACATGCACATCTTGTATACTGACAACATTGAATTGGAACTGTGACCGTCATGGGGACACATGTGTGCGTGGCCGTAAAGAATCCTTCACCAGGCTTGCAGGCTTGGGAAGATGCATGGAAGCATGTCAGCGCATTCTACAGATGAGTGTGTGATGGCGTTTATTCTGTGAATGACTGGAACATCTCTGTGGGGTGGAGAAATGAATAGCTAAGGATGAACCTCTTCCGTAGAAGCTGAAATTTACCATTTGGGCCCAAAGAGGAACCTAGGGGAAGAACCCTGAGTGGATGCACAGTACCATGCAATACTGAGTTTGTACAGTCCATAAAGTAAGGGGCACAGTCTCTTCAAAGGAGTAAGGGAGAGGATTCTCCAAGATACACTGTCTGCCTCTCGGTAGCCCACGCCCACAAGGAACTTGTTTCCATTTTTAGGAGAGTGGAAATAAAATGGGGAACCTCAGACCTGCTCCCCCTGCCCTCCAGTGCTGGAGTCCCAGAAACTGAAGCTCCTTTTTAAATTTCTATATTAAACTTAAATCATTTTATCAAATTATTCCAGGCTGGAGAGGCACCTCAGCAGTTAAGAGCACTTACTGCTCCTGCAGAGGACCAGGTACTGTCCCCAGCACCCACCTCAGGTGACTCACAACAATCTCTAACTCTAGTTCCAGGAGGATCCATCAATTCTGGACCTCATGGCTGAAGGGACCTGCACACAGTGGGGTGCTCCCTCCCAGACCCTGGATTAGGTACAAACCACACCCAAACACCTGTGTTCACAGAGAGAGCTTTTATTAGACAGGGAAGAAAAGGAAGGTGGCTGCTTTCTGACTCAGGCAGAAAACACCAGCAAATGGCCTTGCAGATGTGATTTTAAGAGGTTAAAAAAAGAGAGGTCTGTGTTAGAATGGGCTAGGACTCGGTGGTGTGTTTTGATTGGGCATGTTAATTGGGGTAGTCAAAAGGGGGCTTTTGGTTCATGAACCTCAATACTTTGATAGCTGGACCTTGGTGATCAGCCTTAGGAATGAGTCTGACATAAGAAAGTGTCTAAATAAGGGTAGAGACCTTGGTGGCTAGCTTTAGAGATATAATCTCTGGTTTACAAGGGAGAGGGAGGGGTAAGGCCTGCCAGAGTCATGTTTGCCATGCCAGGGCCTGCTAGAGCCCTTCAATGGGCACCAGCACCCACATGCACATACCCATACACAACCACATACATACTTAAAAATAATAAAATTAAAACATAATAAATGCTATTCCAAGCTGGGCATAGTGGTGTGCACATTTAGTCCAGGCACTCAAGAGGCAGAACAAGCAGAGCTCTGTGAATTTGAGGCCAGTTGGGACAGCAAGAAATATAGAGACCTGATCTCGAATAAGTAGATAAATAAATAAAAGCTATTCCATATATAAGTGTTTGGTTTTTTGGTTTATTTGTCTGCTTTTTCTTTTTGTTTTTTCAAGATAGGGTTTCTCTATGTAACAGTCCTGGCTGTCCTGGAACTCATTCTGTAGACCAGGCTGGTGTCAAATTCACTGAGATCTTCCTGCCTCTGCCTCCTGAGTGCTGGGATTAAAGGCATACTGCCCGACTCCGACCCCATATATAGTTTAATCCCCTTATTTTAATGGCTTCAGAAAAGACTCGAGTGACCTAAGATAAAACAGAGAATGAGACGGTAAGGAGAATCGGAAACTACAGTAGAGACGAGGAGGGATCGTGGCTGGAGCGGATTCTTGGTGCTTTTCCTGCCGGAGGTCAAATCCTCCTTAAAGTTAAGGAATCCAGATGACTCTGGACGGGGAGTCTCAGTGTTCTTGGGAACAACTTCTGTAGCTAGCGTTTTCCTGCCTGGCCCACAGTCAGGACAAATCTCTGTCACCCGCCAGTCCCACAGCCGCTCAGACCTAACCAAGTAAACACAGAGACTTATATTGGTTACAAACTGTATGGCCGTGGCAGGCTTCTTGCTAACTGTTCTTACAGCTTAAATTAATCCATTTCCATTAATCTATACCTTGCCATGTGGCTCATGGCTTACTGGCATCTTCACATGCTGTTTGTCATTGTGGTGGCTGGCAGTGTCTCTCTGACTCAGCCTTCCACTTCCCAGCTTTATTCTCCTCCTTGTCCTGCCTATACTTCCTACCTAGCCACTGGCCAATCAGTGATTTATTTATTGACCAATCAGCAACACACTTGACATATAGACCATCCCACAGCAAAGTTCTCTTCATTTTTAATTAAAAGGTTTTTATTTGAGATGAGGTTTTATACAGTCCAGTCTGGCCTTGAATACTTGATCCCCCTGCCTCTACCTTCTGAATGTGAGGATTACAGACAGGCACTTCCACACCTAGAAGGGCAGAAAAACTGCCTCCAGAAGCACCTTGTTCCCTGCAGGAGACAGAGCAGGAACTGCTGCTACCTCCTTGGAGAACAGTTTGTCAGCTGTCCGTCAAAATTTGAATATCCTGGAGCTTAGACACACATTCATAAGAATTTATCCTGGACATGTTCACATTTATATAGTTAAGGACAATGATGCCAACAACATTGGTTGGGAAAAAAAAAAGTTAGAAGTTACCCGTGTGTTCATGGATAGGCACCAGCCAGTGGCTAATTCATGGTCTTCCTGTGCAATGGAGTACTACCAACTGCCCAGCCTTAGATAACACCAAACTAGGTCTTTGTCTTAAGACATGATGCAATCTCTCAGCTAGTTTAAGTGGGAAAAAATTACAAAACAGTTTGAATGTTTGCATAGGTGAAAACATTTTGCC